AATTTATAATTTTATATTAATAATTATTAAATTAATAATTATATAAATTAATATAGAAAATATAATTTATTATTTATATTATATAATATTATAAATATATAAATATAATACAATATATAATCCTTCTCCTTATATATATTATTATATATTATTATTATTATTATTATATTTTTTATATGGATATTAATATAGTATTTGGTATATGTGTAAAAATGATGATTCATTCTTTTCAGGTTTCCGGACACCTGCACAACACTGGCCAGTTTTTGGTCTTCCGAACAGATAAAGAAGCCAAAGTAAGAGTCAATATAACCGGTGGCCCATTGGCTTATCATTATCAATTCGAAGAAATTTATATTCATTACGGATTGGACGATAATCATGGATCCGAACATCGCGTAGACGATTATTCTTTTCCTGCCGAGGTTTGTATACAATCTTTATATGTATATACATTTATTTATGAAAGTGGATTTAAAGGTATTGAATATTACGTAAAAAACTTTGTTTTGATTAAATTATTTAAGAATTTACATTGGTGATAATTAACGTTTGGTTTACGGATATTTTTATAGACATATTTTTACGAACAAACGTTAAATTGACGAGTAAAGAAAAATATATATTTTGTTATTTACATCGTATAAAATATTATAATTAAAGGGCTTGCTTGGAAAGGGAAAATGAACTCTTGATTATAGATTAGTATCGTTTGATCAATAAAAGTCAAATAAAATTGTTGGAAAATAATGATAATGATTTTTGTAATTTTCCACATGAAGTCTGAATACGTCATATAGAAAAAGAAATCCCCTTAAACCTAATATTAAAAAATAATATCAAATGTTTTTAATATTTCGATTAATTTAATTTGACACTAAGTAAGTAATCTAAAAATAATCTATAAACAAAAACAGTAAAGCAAAACAATGTTATATTTTATTTTTCAAAACGGACTTATCACTTTCGAAATGAATAAAATTTTGAACCAAAATTGGTAGTATTTTTTGTTTAAAAGTGTAATTTCGTAAAACGTAGTAGTAATGACTAATCAAACGGATAAAATGACAAGAGACGGACAGGAGGACAAACAATGAGAAAGAGAGAAATAGAAAGAGAAATGAGGAAACAAAAATGTACTTTCAGAAATATTCGTAAAAAAGAAAATTGTTTTTCCATTTAGAAATATTACCCCCATTTAGTTTCATTAAATTTAGTGAGGCAGAGTGTGCGACAGAACGGACATACAAGCGCGAGATTATCAATTAAATTCCACGCTTGTGAATTCGTATGCGAACGTGAAACGTAGGATTTTTACAAACGTTACATATTTTACCATCGCCGGACGTATGTATATCTACAATCAGTCGTAGAAATATTCGGAGACTTTTTCAATTTCAATCGCACGGCTATTTTATTTTTTTTTTTGTGTGTTTCTCTATTTCTTTCCTCTTTTTTTTTTTTGTATTTTTAAAACCAGAACTAAAAGCATTCGAAAAATGTTAACTACCAAGTGTATCGAAAATTCTCCCCGTCTCTGCCTTAAATGAATTATATTTTAAATGTGTCCAAAAAAATAAAATAATTAAAAAAATTCAAAGATAAAAAAGAAAATAATAAAGAGAGAGAGAAAATTATTTTTTGTATCATTTTAAATACATGATTTTAATGAATTTTTGAACACCTCGACTGTTCGTAGCTTTATCCGAAATAAAATAAAAACAAAAAAATAAAAAAAAAATTAATTTTAAAGTTAAAATATTGTACGTTATGAAATGAACGTCAAGAGAAGCGCAAAATTTTTGTCGAAAGAACGCAATTTAACTTATGTATTTGATAGGTTGTATAAATACTATCGTGTTTAACAAAGTAAATAAAATGTCTGTACAAAAATTTCGTTAGATTTGATTCAACCAAATTTGTTACTGGAGTTAAATTAAAAGGAAAAAAAAGAACAAATAAAAATCCCTCAAAAAAAACAAACAAACAAAAATCCTAAAATCAAATACAATCGCACATTCGCACACCTTCAAAACTCGTACGAAAAAAACTTGCAAACGCGCGTGAATGGGGGGAAACTTCAAACGGAATTGAAAAATGCCTTTTTTTTCCCCCATCAAAAAGTTATAAAGGCATGTTTCTATCCTTTTTTCTTTTTTTGATTTTATTTTTTGTATTTTATTCAGATCCGAGAATATCTTTTGCAATTGCTATTGCAAAAACAAGAAAGAAATGAAAAACAAAGAAGAAACGAAATATAAGAAATTTACAAAAAAAATGTATCGTAATACATCCAAATTATATAACATACACATACACACACCCACACACACACAGAAACATACGCACTTATGTTTATGCACAGAAAGTTTAACCATTTGCATATACACATACACACAGATATATGCATACGCACGCATATAAACAAAATGGTATATATAAACGTATATATAAATAATATATGTCGTGTACATGTATGTAAATGTGTGTGTGTATTTGTAGGTGTAGGTGTAGGTGTAGGTGTAGGTGGATAGGTAGGCCTCTCATTTTCAGATTACTCGTCGTCGGTTACACCAATCCCGCAGGCCGCGAATTTAGAAGAGAGTTGAATTTTTTATCGACTCGATATTGGCCAAATTTGTTCCCAGCCAATCACCCATCTCCCTCTCTCCCCTCCTCGTCACTCTTCTCGTGGTCGAAATTCGTGACGACAACGACGACGACGACGATGATAACGACAACGACGACTACGACGATCATTTCGACTGATAATTACATATTAACGCGTGTCCCAATTTCGTTTCTGGCTTCATAACGTATTCCGTTTTTTTCTCTCTTTCTCTCTCTCTCTCTCTCTCTATTTTTTTTCCATCATGCTGTACATTGAAATTGCTCATTCAAAAGAGCAAAAAATATGATTCTACTCGATTTCAAATCAACAACAACGATATCGATAGTTTATTTCTCTCTCTTTTTTTTTCTTTTTGTAGAAAATAAAACAAAAAAAAGACACGTTTCCATGAAAGTGAAAATTATTATTAATCGTTCGTTTTTCCAATCGATTATATCTTTCTCTCTCTGTGAAATAATCGCAAAAAGAACGAAAAGGAACAAAAAAAAAGTGGATAATAGATTCATATATTCTCTTCGTGCTCGTATTGTAGATAAGAGGAAAAAAAAGGGGAATACAAATGTATATTAAAATCTGTACACGCAATTAAACTACGTTTGTGTAATAGCGATTGTTACAATGATATCGATATGAACATAAAGATTGCTTATTATCGTATGAACCAAAACGTGAAAGAGAGAGAGAGAGAGAGAGAGAGAGAAAGAGGAATGAATATTATCGAATATTAAATAAATAAATAAAAAGAAAAAGAAAAAAAAAATTTCCAAAAAAAAGGAAAGAGAGAGGATTTTTTGTTTTTTCTTTTTATTTATCGTAACATTTATTCGTTTGTATTATTCATTAAAAAAACGAAATGTGTTAATGGATAAGATATTAACAAATGTAAACGAAAAATATTACATATGTTATAGTAACACGATTTTATATAATTATATCGATACGAACATAAAGATTGCTCATTATATCGTTGAACGAAAATAAAAAAAAAAAAATTAAAAAAAAGGAAAAATGAATTACCGAATAAATAAATAAATAAATTAATTAATTAAATATCAAATAATTTTCTCTTTCTTTGTTTTTCATTTATTTTTTATTAATTTATTTATTCAGTAGTTCATTTCGAAAAAAAAAAGTAAAACAAATTATCAAATAATTTTCACTTTATTTTTTATTTTACTTTTTGTATCGTAACACCTATTCGAGTGTATCTATCTATTCTCAAAACGAGACGAAAATAGACGAGACTAGACGAGACTAGACGAGATGAGACGAGACGAGAGATAAAGAGGATGACCCAAGTGACGAGATAATTAATTGAAATTAATTATGCGAGGCAGGGTCCTCAAAATGGGACAAATTAAACACGCATTAAACCACCGCTGTGCGAGACCTCATCTTCTCGTAAACAAGCTTTCTCTCTCTTTCTCACTTTCTCTCCTCTTCTCTTTCTTTTCCTTCTCTCTCTCTCTCTCTCTCTCTTTCTCTTTAAACCGTGTAATTTCCATATCTTCCGACGTTGGAACGGTAAAAGACCGTAAAAACTACACTTATACGGCGATGATACGTTTTATCGTAGCGAAACGTCGACAAGCACCAAGAGAGAATGAAACGAGGGTAGAAAAGGGGAAAGGGGGGGGAAGAAAGACACCACAAATATACACGCATACGAATCCACTTGAATATATATATACACACTTTTAACACAATGCTCTCTCTCGTTGCTTAATTAAGCATTTCGATGTAGAAGAAAGGATTTCTTTTTTAAACTACGAATCCGCTCTCCCTTTCTCTCTCTCTTTGCGAGAATATTTCGTGGTAAAAGGTCTCCGTCAGTCCACTCTACCTCCTACTATTCATTTCTATCTTTTATTATTTTTTTTTATTATTATTTTTATTATTATTATTATTATTATTATTATTATTATTATTATTATTATTATTATTATTATCGTAATTTTATGTTATTTTTTTTTCTTTTGGTTAAACGTTGTAATTTAATTGCAAGACTCGTTATAACTTGTTTTTTTTTTTTTTACTATCGATTAGTATCACAGATTCTACAATATCGACGTGAAATGATTGAATTTGTTCTTTTATCAGATTAATAACGAGCATCGGGAATGTGTCCAACTTTAACGATCATTCGATACTTTCTTTTAAATGTGATCTATTAAAAAATATAAAAGTATATCATGTAATCTTATGATCGATTATTTCAAGCAAATAACAAAAATGTAAAGAAATTGAAAATTTATAAGTTTCATCCAAAAAAAAATGAAAAAGAATTATATTAAATATTGTTTAAATAATGACAATTATTTTATCTATATAATTAATACTATTATTAAATAATTAAACTTTCAGTATTAAATCGTATAAATTTCAATTAAAAATATTATTTTAAATATTAATGTCTGACCATATATTGACCATATGCCTGATTCATATTACTAGTTACATATGTCTGACTTTGCATTGGAACTTGACTCTTACTATTTAAATACATATTTTAAAATATGCAACTATATAAAAAAAAAGTAATAGTAAAAATCAAGTGAAAAAGTCACATAATAATTATTATAGTTAATATGTAATATATTTATATATTACCTAACTTTTATATATTAACTATAATAATTAACCTTATATATATATTAAATATTAAATATTAACATATATAGTATCAAATCCATCTGTTTATCATTGAATTATTATTAAATATTTATTAAAAAAATTTTTTAATATACAAAACTTCCTATTAATCGTATTAATCATTAATTTTCTTTTTACAAC